AAATTATTAAATATTATCTAATATTAACTTTTAAAACTATTAAATATTTGAAAATTGGTTAATATTTAATTTTAAAATCTCAATAAATATATATATATATATATATATATAATTAAAATCAATTTTACCCATGGTAGAAATCAAATTATTGTATTGAAACTAAGAATTTAAAATTTAAGAAATTTAAATTTACCCAAGAAAAAAATTTAAAGAATGATGAAAATTAAAATTAAAGTAATTTAAACTTTAAGATTTAAAATTTCTAAAATTCTTCATCCAAACACACTTTAAATGAAAAATGTTGTCATTGTCTAAGTCCATACACACATGTGGTGAAATCTTAAAATAAAAGTTCCTTTAAAAATAAAAACTTGTTTGGTGAAAATATATTTATAAAAAAGTTATATAACAATAAATGATGGAGGACCATCCATGGAGCTTCATGTGAGACCATTTCTTGAACGTCTTGGTCATCCCTTGGTAGAAGAAGTTCATCAATAAAGTATATTTATAAAATTAAATTGTGAAATTTTTTTATTTATTTACTATTATTTTAGTGATAAAATATTAAAATTAACTAATAATTTACAATTTTTTAACAGTTTAAAAATTAATTTCATTAATAAATAAATATTTTAATGATGATTTAAATATATATTATTATATAATATTAATTGAAAAAATAATTAACTACAAGATATAAAGGTTTTGAAACTTCTATTTAGTTTTCAAAAATAGAAAATAATGATCTTTAAAGTTGTTCTATCAACTATTCTCGTTTAAATACAACAATATTGATTCAGCTTCTTATTCATTTAGATAACATTGCACCATCCTTCCACTGATGCATTCCTATATGTATAATAAAGAAAAAAAGATAAAGTAAAATAAAATAAACACTACAAAGAAGAAATTGTCGTATAGTGACACACATTTTATAGTGACATATAATATGTGTCACTAAAAATTATTTTTACCTATATAATAAATATAATATATATATATATATATATGTTAGTATATTGTTAAAAAAATGTGGGTATAAATTATAGTGACACACAAAATATGTTGTTAAATCTCATTCAAAATCAATATTAAAAATATGTGTAACTATATGCCAAATAGATACATAGTTACATATATTATACTTATAGTAACATTTTTTATATGTCACTATATGTAACATTTATTATAGTGAAAATAAAATTATGAACTATGGGAATCAACGTGACTGGATTAGCTTTTATAAAAGCTCCTTTTTATTATTTGTTCACTTTTTAAGTGCTTTTACCTTAAATAAAAGTTTGGCCAAACACTACCTAGGTTGAGTGTGTTACAGAGTGATTAGTTTAGCGATTAGAGACTGCATTCTAACTGCTGCAAGTGTGTGTATAAAATCACTCTCTATCTCAACACAAACTCTACAATATATCATTGATCGTAACTTTAAAAGTGTCATTCAGAATAGTTCTTAATCAACAGAATTTTAAGTTAGATTAAATATCCAATTCAGTCCTTGAAATAAATCATTTGGCCTAATTTAGTCCTAGAAGAAACACATCACCAAATAGTTCCTGATTAAAAACGTGGCTCAATCTAGTACTTTAGCCATTTTCCCTTGATTTTTAGGATATGATTATTCTCTAAAAATGTTAATTGTGTACCTAATTATTCCCTATCAAAATAATTATCGACACCCAATTATTGGTTCCTAAAAGTGTAAATTTAATTAAATGGATGGAAGGATTAATTTAAATCAGTCGTCAACAACATTCCCCTCATAGCATTTTCAAGTTCAAATATAGGCATAAATTTCTCTCCCTCTATCCTTAGAAGACATCAAGCAATTTCTAGATTAACTAATTAAATCTTGAAAGTTGAAGAATCAGGATCATGATAAAAATTAGGATCACAATTAAGTCAGCTTCACCATTTAAGAAACCAACTCCCCCTACCCCTTTCTCCTCCTTGAGGAAAAAAAAAATCCTAGTAAAAGTAAAATAGGAAAGGATTAAATTTAATTGTGGAACATCATATGAATCACCCATCAAAGTTTAATCTTTTTTGTTTAATTCATCTTAAAACAGTTTAAGAGAAGAATTAATTACCTTGAATGAGAATAGGCTTTGTAGGAGTATTTGGTTCCCATGAATCTTGTTCCTCAACCTCATTATTCTTCTCATTGTTAGGTTTTGCTCTCCTTTGATAGACATTTGGCCCGGACATGACAAAGTGAATAGAGAGTAGAGACTCTTGCTAATACAAGAGCTAAGCCAGGGTTGTAGAAACCCTCCACACAAGTGTTTCAAATTACAGTTTGGTTTTTAAATTTTTTTTATCTGATTAGGAAACCAAATTAGAGGGTTAGTTAGACTGATAATTTTTAAATTTGTATATGTATTTATTAATATTAATTATTAATAAAAGTCAGATAATATAACGGTTATTAATTATTTTCAATAATTATTAATAAAAGTTAGATAATAACTGTTTGAATTATATATTTTTAAATTAGTTGAAATATTTAGAAATTGATTTGTAAATATATGATGTGGTGAACAAATAGTTAATAATTATTATTTTGTTTTTCAGTTATCTCAATTTGATTTGATTACATGATGTAATATATATATATATATATATATATATATATATA